GTTAGTGTTATTTTACAGAATTTATTATATTATGATTTCGGAATCTTTTAAATATATTTTGCATTTAAATATGTCAGTATATCAAGAATAATCTCGATCAACATGAATCTCTTATCAAATACAATTTGTAAACATATATTTAAGATACTTTTGTATTCTTTTTAGGATAGAGATTTGCTAAATGTAGGTAGTATGTATTATAATAGAATTACTAACTATATTATAATATGATACCGAAGTTTACTAAATAAATACATTATATTAACACTATAATATCTAGGATTGTTTACCCATTTAGATTGCCCAAATTTCGCATTTCATGTTCTAGGTCATAATTTAGGTAATTTCGTAACTGTGTTAAACCCATAGACAAACTAACAAAAGCAAGACGCGTCAACGCTGTACTGCAAAACGGTAACAAGTTTGATAAGAGTTTATTACCGCGCTTGCGTCAACTGGTCTTTTAGACGAGGACGGTTTACTTATGGATTGTGTATTTTGTAGTAGCCTTTTAGACAAGGATGTTTAATTAAAAAGCGTTTATTAAAATCAAATAAATTTATCGGTAAAATAAACAATAATTTCTGGACATAACAGATATAAAAACAAAAGTTTAATAAACGAAAACGTATTCCTCTTATTAAAATAACAAAAAAGATGATAAAAAAACAACAGTTATGGTAAACGAAATAAAAGCATTATTCTTCAAAAGGTACAAAAAAATTATTATGTATATTATAATATTAATAATAGGAACAACAAGAAACATCTTAAAAATATACAACTTTTTCAAATATAAAACATAAACTTCACATTTTCACAAGAATTTTCAAAAATATTAACATTTCGAGTCTATTATAAAATATAAAGCACAAAAATTCAAATCATAAAAAGATTAAAAAGATAAAGATTCTTATAACTTACAGTCAATTTGTAGGACCTTCGTTTTGTCTACGTTAGCGATGTAACCACAATAATATGTATAATCACAGTAATTATTATGTTCTTCATAAATGTAAAATGTATTAAATTATTTGTTTTCGTTTTGTACGCTAATAAAATAATAGTAATAACCAAACAAAACGCAAAATCAGGAATTCAATAGTTCGTTCAAGGATGGTTCAGGCAAAAACGTTTTTCGTTTTATTTAGGTTAGGTTTGACGAGTGCGACTGCGCGATGATTTCTGACTCAACTGGCCAGCGCAAAAACAATAATTCGACTTCCTCAATCCTTTGAAAAGTCTTGCTTTTGTTAGTTTGTCTATGGCAGGGGCGTAGATAGGTGTATGCTATGGGGGTGGTACTATGATTAAGTCGCAAAAAAAATCACCGTCGGAATTTTTTTGTCGAATTAAAACGACGGCGATTTTTTTGTCTTCAAAAAGATATAAAAACATAACACAAAAATTAAAATATAGATTTGTAAATAACAGAAACAAAAATGAAACAACGACGTTTATTAGTTAATTTTCTATAAACTATAAAAAAAACTCTAAACTATCAAAAAAACTATAAAACTATAAACTATAAATAAAACTACAAAAACAAAATCAAGTTTTCTAGTACGCTGTTTGGAAAAACCTATCAATAACAGCATCAACATTTATTTCAATATCTTTATGGATATTGATTAGAGTTAACCCCACTAATCTGTCCTGGCCAATAAGAACACTTTGTGTGCTTTTAATTAGGTCGAACATATTATAAACGATAAATCAACATAATTAAAAGCATACAAAGTGTTCTTATGTCGGATTTTAATTAAAAAAAATCCTTTCATAGTCAATGACTATTTCAATTCTCGTATCTCATCAAGCGTCAGGGGGGGGTACTGTCCCCCAGTACCCCCCCTTATCTACGCCCTTGGTCTATGGTTAAACCATAAGTATATTATGTTGTAACAAACAATGGTAGGCACATCATATTATTATAATAGTTTAGGATTAATTATTTGCTATACTTTTCACTAATTAAATATACATTTTATTTTATACGTGTATTTTATAAAATGATTAATGACAACAGCGTGAAAAGCATAGTCCCCATACAAGCTCGATATTGTGACACTAAAGGTACATTCAGGCTGAGAGCGTCGAGCGTCGCTGATCCTTTAAATTTCGAAAAAATGTGATTAATTATGACATTTTAATCAAAAACTAATATTGCTCTATACCTTTTTGTAAAACTATTTAATTTGAAAACTAATGAAACTAAGAAAAATCAATCTAAGATGATGTGTCTACTAGCAATATATTTAGCAGCGATTTGGAACATCTGGATAGACTCATATTTTTAGCTACATATTATTAATAGTACCTATTGGTTTATTTACATTTCATTTTTGTAGGTGGAAATTATAAAAAAATTACTCTAGTGTACTAAAGTTTTGCATTATTTATACTTTGTGTTATGTTTTCTCAATGTTTAGAAAAGAAATCTGGATTTACCATCAAAACGTACACCATTATATGTTTGTTTTTTATGTCATAACATCAACCTACTGATAATTCTCGATAAATCACTATTATGAAATTTTGCGAAAAGCACAAAAATATTTATATTTTGTAAAAGGGTTCACTGATTTTGGAACACATGGGCATAAACTTGTTAATAATTTAATCTTGAATATATACAATATACAAATTTGGTTAACCAACAAAACATATTTAACGTTTTCAATCCAAGTATCGCCACAAGCAAAATGAGAATCTAATTTCAAATATGGAAATCTAAAAATATTATGATAAAATTCTTTAGTCATTTTTTTACAAATACGTGTATTGTCACTTATCCGATAGTCAAGCAGCCTAAAGAGAGACCAACTCAGTAGCCATTACATCGAAGTTGGTCAAAGAATGTCTAGAACGTGGAAACCAAGTTAAAGCAAAAAAAAACCAAGCGCCTGGAAGACCCCATCCGTAACCTGGATTTAGAATCCTCCAACGGTTTAAGACACTTGAAGACATTTCTCAGGACTCACCATCGATAAAAAATCAAAGTTTTTTCTTGATTTAAGTAAGAACAATCTTCGGATTGTCACGGAGTTTTTAATATGACCCTGTCTCCTGAATGAACATCTTAGTAGATAGAAGCTAAGAAATAACGGTAAATGCAGATTCTGTGGGGAAAATGGGGACACACAAAAATATCACTGAGTCGGCAACCATTCGTGCCATAAACTTTGGTATGACTGATTTTGGAGATGAAGAACTAACCTCTGTAAAACCGTCGTAGATACTGGCATTTGTCAAAGTTCTCAGACTGTATGACGAGTTATAACTCAAGAAAGGAGGTCACAATAGATCTATAAGGTCGTGGTGATTAACTTTTCTCCTCCCATACAATCTATAAATTGTGACTTTTTACGTTCTAATGGCTATGTTTGTAATTATTTAATTTTCTAATGTGAACATAGTACTAAGATGAGTATTGATATATTTTGTAGCTTTACTAATAGACTTTTCTGGACATGAGAATTAACGCTTTATAAAATTAGGTTTATCTCCTTCTTGCAACTGAGATTGGCAATTTCATCGATTGGATTGATATCATGGCGATTTCGAGTTTGTTCACAACAGCAGAAAACTAAGATTGAACCACTCCCTTAGATTCCTTAGGCATGATATTTTTTTTCTTGCAAAACTTCTTTTGTCTCTCTCTATTATTTCCTTTCATAACTAGTCTTAGTAGAACGTAGCGGTCTTCTCTCATGATATGTCCCAACTATTTCTGTTTCTGTTTTTAATTGATGTTTATTATTTCTTAATTTTTATTCGTAGTATTTTGCAACTTTCCCAAGTTGGTAACATTGTTCGTCCAGGAAAAAATTTCCTGGAAATTATGTAAGAATTCTTCGGTAGTCCAGGCTTTACGGTAGACTATAGTTTTATTAAGTTTTAATAATAATTTAATATTAATTAATAAAGATAAATTTAATATAAATTGTTAGTTACTAAAACTAGTCATGCCAAATTATATTTTAGTATTGGTTATTAGTAAAATTTTACGAGCTTAAGTATAATTATAAAACCATTCCTATTTATAAATGACATACATACATAAGCGTGTACAATGTGTGGAACCCTTGTATTTAAGTAGTAATTTGAAACGTCTGAATTGATTCCGCATTAGGGTATTTTTAGCTCTGTACTAGATTTGTGAAAACGTTGTTTATATACAGGGCGCCAAAAAAATAGTGTATCTAACTTTGATGAGTGATTGATAGAAATAAAACAAAGAGTTCCTATAAACATATGCCCTAAAATACTTCCCGAGGAAGTTACAGACCTCGAAAGGTTAAACATATTTTGTTTATTTTTAAGAACATTGCTAAACCGTTTTTCCTGAAATTTGGTACTCTTACACACATTTTAATGCCAAAGCAGTTTATTCAGTAACAGCCCTAAAAGGGTACTTTCCATTAAGGTAGAGAGTGCTACTGGTGGTACTTCTTTTATCCTTCCGGGTGCGTCTCAAAAGTGGCTCACCCCTATAACTTTTTTATTTTTTCAGATAAAACAACGAGATTTGGTATGTTAGTATATGACATAAATTGGGATTGATTGACGTATATATAGTATAAGGCATAAATTAGGGTCGGTTGACATATTCAATTGTTTTCGGTCACTTCCGGTTCAACGGAAATTACTACAACTTTTGATTTTTAAATAGCACCCTCGGTATTTTAAATTTCAATCTAGAATGCCATGGCTGTGTTAAAAACACTAATTTTTAATCAAGGAGCCTTGGAAAAATAAATTTCATCGTCCAATGTTTTTAGTGTCTTGTCCTGGCCGGTTAAAAGATGCCCAAATCGGTTTTTTAATCATGTCTAACGAGGGTGGCTCATTGGCATATTTGGAAACACAGCTACAGATGCCCGACGCACTATTGACCCTGTATAGTTAAAGTATTATTAATTGCCGGTTGCTGATAATTGAGTAGTATATTGTTTTGATCTACTTCATTAATATTTTTCTAATGAATGTTTTCTTTTCAGATTCAAATAAGACTGTTAAAGTGCCAAACCTGCATAGGAGTTAAGACATTTGTTACTAGTGGATTTTGAAGAGTTTATGGTTCTTTCTAATTATACACCATGGATTTTACAAAAGAAAACGTCAATCCCAATCCTAGAGATAAAGCCACACCATTCGGTCTGATCTTTTTCACGTAAGTCACTTTTTAACTAAAACATACTTTTGTATATTGATTAAATCATATTACCATACAACATTTTTTATGTTATTAATTTTAGGAATAAAATATTATTCGTTCGTGAGGTGTATATTTTGCAATGTGTTTAATGTTCCGTTAAAGGAATTCTGATTTACATACATTATAAATCAAAAATATTTTAGAATTTGTATTTAGTCACATAAAAAATCGAATATATTTATGTACCTAGAACGTCCATTTTTGTATTATAAAATATGTATAATAACTTAAAATTTAACATATTTGACTATAGAAATTTTACTTTTTAAACTTTTATTAATTAAATATATTTGGTTTTACTTTAAATATTTATATTATTGTAGGTATTAATAATTAACTAAACTAACTAAAACGTTTAACTAACGAAATTGAAACTAAGCTTCCAAAGACGGCAACGTATTTAAGGCAGGTTTCCTGTAATATTATATTTGAATATATTATACAGGGTGAGTCTTAAATAAGTGCAAATATTTTCAGGACAGGTAGATCTCGATAAAAGAAACATATTTTCTCTTTTACCGTTTTTAAAATAACAGAGATGTTTTGCTTTGAAAATTTAAAAAAAATTGATTATTCGCTTAAGTTTTGAGAACCACTGAATCTTCTCTGGGTTTTCTTTCTTGTAAATTTAATCTACTATCTATGTTGCCATATTATAAGGATATGTGTTTTTTTAACTAAAAATTGAAAACATTTCCAAAACATTTTTCAAAAAAAAATTATTTTCGCGAAAAAAACCTCATAGAGGTATTCCTGGGGTCGAAATATACTACCCCTTAAAATATTTACACTTATGTACTCACCTTGGATATACAGGGTGACACACCTCATTCGCCTCGGTTGATTATACGAAAACGAAAAGATGTAGAAACAAAATATTTTATGGGTATATGTGGGAAGGCAATGTGGACAATTTAAAATTATTTTGAAATATACAGGGTGTTTCAGAACTAAGATCCATACCAAAGTTATATTTTTCTTATGGAACACCCGGTATTTTATCGACTAGTTTTAGTTAGTTTTATCACTTTGATTCCTTGGCCCAAAAGGGTTACATATTTTTAAAATCTTTTAAACATATGAAACCCTTGTAATAAATGCCTTTTTTTGGGACCAAATAATCCAAAAATGAAATAAAATACCGGGTGTTCCATAAGAAAAAATATAACTTTGGTATGGATCTTAGTTCTGAAACACCCTGTACACTTCAAAATAATTTTAAATTGTGCACATTGCCTCCCTACATATACCCATGAAATATTTTGTTTCTATATCTTTCTGTTTCGTATAATCAACCGAGGCGACTGAAGTGCGCCACTCTGTATAATTCCAAATTAACATTTGTGGTGATTTAAAGAATTATTGCAAGATTTTTCTACTAAACAGCTGCATTAACACAAAATTATTATTTACGGTAACACAAAGTAATCATTTCCATAGAAAATAGCAGGTGTTCAGATCAACGCAAAGAATGGAATTACATTTTATTTCAAGTCGACACCTATAATATTACAGATACTATGTATAGAAACTGAAAGTAGAGATGTTAGTAGAGGTGTGTAGTTCGTGAACGAACTAGTTCCAATGAACTATTCCGACTCCGGAATGAAAGGAACTAGTTCCTGGCTTCTCAAAGGACTAGTTCCTCAGGACCTATTCCGGGATCGAGACTGTGTCCGATATAGAATAATATGCGACGGCGACGGATCGGCTAGCGCGCGTAGCCCGATGGTAGGCAGGAGTGGGGAGTGCCAGACGTACGTTATCGGATCCGGACCTAGAGGAACTAAACTAAATAAAAGACTAGTTTACGTAAGAAGTGTCTAGTCCTAGTAGTCAACTATTAAGCTTGACCAATCAGGTTGGTTAGCGTGGTTATTTGGAGTGTGTTAATTCATTCGTGTTTGTCAAAAACTCTAACGTGATTGGTCGGGCTTAACAGTTGCCTGCTAGGGCTAGACACAAGTGTTTACGTACGAACCGATCGGGCAAGCGCGATCGTTGCTTAGCGTGGTTATTTGGAGTGCCAATTCATGCCGTGTTTGTCAAAAACTCCTAACGTGATTGGTCGGGCTTAATAAAAGCCTTGTGGGCTAGACACAAGCAGGCAACTATTAACCGATCCGACCAATCACGTTCGATGCTTTTGGCAGGAAATGGAGTAACAGCCTTATGCCGTACGTTAACCAACGGATCCGTCAAGCCTAAAGGAACTAGAGGAACTAAATAAAAGACTAGTTTACGTATGGATCAGCCAGCGCGATTGATGCTAGGCAGGCGTGGGGAGTGCGAGCCGTATGTTATCGGATCCGGACATAGAGCAACTATTAAAAGACTAGTTCACGGGAATCTATTCAGTCGGCAGATCCGAGATATAATACAAGGCGACGACGATGGATTCGGCCTTGTCTATTGCCGCAGCCGGCGCGGCGTAATTACCACAGAAAATTGTCGTGGATACTGTTTTTGATTTTTAGTTTGTTTTTGAAATATTTTATGGGAATGTTTCACTTTAGGTCCCTAAAATTAAGAAACATCTTATAAAACGAAGTAGATATTCTGAATTTTTAGACAAAAAAAAAACTTGAAGTGAGGAAAAATGCAATTTTTCGTAAAATTTTTGTAATATTTGCTCCAATTGATTTGTGATATAGTTTTTTAAATTCTGATTTGAGTTTTTTTTAAAAAAAATTTTATCTGCTATAAAACTTACCTATATGTTTTTAACATACACAATTACACGTCTCGTTATATCTCCGTACATTATGAAAATTATACAGATCATACTGTGAATAGTTCTGACTGACAACGAAACGCATTAGCAAGCAAGGGGGATGTCAATGTTAGTCGGGAACTATTGTGAATTAAAGACCTAGTTCAAGGAACTATTCCTCTGGAGGAACTAGAACTAAGGAACTAGTTCCTCCCAAGGAACTACAATTCCCACCTCTAGATGTTAGTTTAAGTAACACTAAAAATTTGCATCTTACAAGATACCAAGAAACATGTTTCTGATAAATGAGAAGATACTTCGCCCTATACGTTCCAACTATACTACAATAACTTTTCTCGAAATGCTTAGTAGGTATACGAGTATCGCAACAGCAGATTTTTTAAAATTTTTACAGTTACAGTGTGTCTGAAATTGTACAAACATTTGATCGTAGATGATCTCCTAAGAATTAATAATGAAACGAGTTGGTAATAACTATTTTTTTTAGAAATAAAAAAGATAGTCTTAGATTAGAAATTCAATATGCTAAAAAAGTTCACAAATTTTTCATGGCTCATATTGAAAATTTTTTAGTTCATCCTCAATTAAATATGGAAATAATGTGGATTTTTGCAAATATTGTGAACCTATAATTTTCGATTTTTTCTCGTGAGTTCTTCTTCTTCTATTAGCATGGAGCTTATAATTATTTCTTGTTCGTTGTCAGGACTTCAGACAGGACTCTGGAAGTGACTGATGAGAAATTCGATTGGCAAATACGGATGTAGTAAGAGCAAAAAGAAACAAATTAGCGAATAATGCGACGCGTGCGGCGCGTTCGGTACGGCTCACAGTGTGCGCGACAAGAAAAAAAAGTGCGATTCGTGCGGCGAGTGCGGCGCTGGTCAGTGTGCGCGTACCTTAAAATGGACACTTCAGAAATAATGCTTTTTTCCGGATATATACATACAGTATGTCTCCGTATTACCTTTTACAAGAGGAAAAGGTTTTTTTATTATTAACTTTATGAGAAAAATGCATTCTTCATAAAAATTTACAGTTTTAGAGAAAATTATATAGAAAGAATTTTTTTCCAAGAGTCAAAGCGTTTTTCTAAAAAAAATATTACCAGAAACTAACTTATAGTAAGTCTGTGGTATTACCTGTTCTTTATAATAATAAATTTACACATCCATAGTTGTCCATAGGAACCTCTAAACGGGTTTGGTTTTAGCTTGAATTTGAGAGAGAGGGATATCGTGACCTACTCATATTAAAAAAAGATTTTAAACATGATGCACAAAGTATACAGACAAAACGTGTTCTCTATGTAAATTCTCTAGCTGTCCTTAAATAAAATACTAAAATATTTGAAGTTTTAAAAGCTATATTTCCTCTTGTCCTGATAAATATCGAAAAAGAACTTAAATAAATATACTTGTTAGTTTTTTTGTAAATTCTTTGTTTTTTTCTGGGACCTGAAGAATAAGCTGCTTGAAACTTGCAGTATTTTTGTTGGCAAATTTTTGTTAAAAAAAGAACATGTCTCCATTGATCTTTAATGGAGTGAAATTTACATAAAAATGGAGAGAAATATTTCGACTGGCATGTATATGTTTTGTGGCGTTATTATTCCCAGAGGAATAACCTACATAGAACATATGCTTGTGTTATTGGAAACGAAAATAAATCTGGAAAATTGTTTTTATACAATACAATACTTCCTGGAAATACTTGACTGGTTTAATATACGGTCGATGTTCTGGATAAACTTAAATATGCGATGTATTAAGTATTAAGAAAGATCATTTTCATATATGGCTTAATTTCATTGTTATAGTTGTATGCATACATACCTATTACCTATATACCATACGATCGAAAAAAATGGCATCAGAGAGGTTTTGGAAATGATGATGGCTGTCATTTTGTTTTTAAATTTATATTGGAAATGTCATCGATCGTCATTTAAAAGTTAACTGGTTGCCGTTTATTTTCGATCATACGATAAGGCGCGTAAGCATGTATAATATATTACTTATTATTTACTCTTCTAATTATGACATTATTTATTATATTATGTAGAATACGAATATAACTATGAATTTTAAGGAGCCTACGAATATTTTTCCTTATCCTCAAATATATTATTTTCCATATGGTAAAAAAATGGCGACTTAAGAGAAGTTTTTTTAAAGGTAGTCTTTCCCCTGTACTATTTTTAAATATATACATAATATAT